GGTACGGTCCTAGCGGAACGCCTTCCCCACAGCCAATCCGAGGGCGTTCTTGGCGCGGCCCCGCCCCCCCTGAACCGCCTGCCAGTGGGCGGGCCCTACCGGACTGCTCCGGGCTTCCCTCCTTAACCCCTTCCCTCTCCGACCTTCCTGGTTTAACCTTGTCTGCTCCGCTCCTTCGTTCTGTCTTCCCTTCGCACCCCGCTTGTAAAAACTGGGCTTTGGCTTCTCTTTTACCTTTGGTTTTTCTTTCCCGCTTTTCTCAGTCAGGTAGGCAGTCAGGCGGAAAGACTGGAGAGTTACAGTCGCTTAAATTTCTGTTCGTGATAAGCAATTTCCTTCCTCCTTCTGCCCTTTTAATTTGTCTTGAGACTTAGCCTGAAGGTCCTGCCGATCTAAATGTATCCTCCTTGGACCGAAAGAGGCCAGCCTTCCTACGCGAAGCGCAAATCGCTTTTCCTTCAGATGAGTTCTGCCTGCTACAAAGGAGCATTTGACAAAAATCATGAATCGTTAATGTAATATTAGTTATTTCACGTCTTTCTCTTGCAAAGGACTGTAAGCCTTATGAGGACAAGTTAGTCGCGTTTTGGTTCCCAATGCCCTGCTACCCACTGGTCTCCAGTAGAAGATTTGAATGAAAGTTTCTCCCCTTGTTTGTTTTCCGCTGATTCCATACAGAGCAACCACTGCATAACTCACTCATCTATTCATTCAGTATATATCAAGCTTGCACTTAGTGTGCCTGACCCTGAAATACTACAATTCGTGTTGCCCCATGGGATACTGTGTACAGCGAGGTTGGGTACAGAACTGATCCTTTTTTTAGGAGGGCAAGACAGCTGAGTTTTTTTGTTTTTGTTTTTTCCAAACTATATAATTCATTGAAGTAGCAGAGTGTATTGGAAAGAATTCTCCCTTGCTGGCTGCATGATTTGGGATAAGCGTTGTTTTCTTTATCTAGAAATGAGAGAACCTGCTTCATAGGGTTGTTGTGAGAAATAAGGACATGTGTGAGGAAAGTGCATGCAAATTATTTTGTAAAGTTAGTTGTTATTCATGCATATATGAGCACTTTCTAGCAGGAGATCCCAGAGAATGATTGGACTTGACACCCACCCCAGACAATCTCGGTGGGAAGGCAGCATTAATCGCATAGGTAGCATTACTCGCTATAGGAAATGTACAGTCTGATGCAGAAGGCATCACATCAGCTTTTTACTAGATGTAGTTGAAAAGGTCTGAGGGTCATCGTCTGACCATGAAATACATAATTCTTGGAGAAATAAGCTGGACTGTAAAAAGAACCTACCTTATTTCTCTACATGGGTGCATGTGTCTGTCCTTAACCTTGTTCACTACATCAGCGGGTCATAAAGCAAAAGGGTAAGCCAACAGTTCCTCTAAGACACTTTACCACAAACCATTCTTTCTTCTCTGACAAGGACAATGAGGAGCAAGTCTCCACCTGTCATTGCTCAGAAGGTCAGCTCACCCTGCAGCCTCAGCTTTCTGGACAAATGCTCTCCTCTACATTTAAGGATTTTCACAGAGGGAGGCGTCGTACGTCAGGACAGGCTCACTTTCTCTTCTCTCGAGAGATGGAGAGCCTTGAGTAGTGGCCTTTATGTAAAGCCTTTCAGATAGCAAAATTATTCCATCTCCCAGTTTTTCCTTCACCAGGCTACTCGACCTAGGCTCTGTGTCACTCTTCCCAAGCACCAGCCCCTGTAACCTCAGTTTCTGCCCACCCCTCCAGTCACAGCATCAGTAGTCCACATATTCTAAGTGCTGTGAGCAGCGCAATCATTCAAGAAGGGAGTTTGCATGACTAGCGCCTAGGAAGCAGTTGCATGGAATACAGGACACTTAAATTGTGTAGCACAGACTGTCATTGCTGAAAGAATCAGAGTCCAGGAAACAGTGTGGGCTGGTTGTTGGCAGGAAGGGAGTACTGAGGTGAGAAACTGAGGATGGGAGGAGAGAGGAACGATGCCAAGGCAGTACTATGTGAATTTATAACAGACATCCCAGGCATGACGGAAGTGTTCAGTTGCCCACTCATTCATTCCTACACTGATTCGTTTCATGAATGTTATCAGATTCAAAGCACTGAGCTAGACCCAGGTCATGCAGAGATGAATAAAGCCGGGTCCTATTTCCTTGAGAAGCTTAATAAGCTAGGCGAAGCCCCCACTCCCCTGCTCAGGAAGGTCAGATCACTTTGTCAAGACTCCCGTAATGATCTTTTCACCACTCACGTGGTGTACTGTGTTTGCAGATGTCTGTCTGATTTCCTCTTTTCTCCCCTGTCCTTAAACTGCAAGGCTCTTCGACACAGACTGTGACTTTATTTTCTCTTTCTGTCCCCTACTTGTGGACTGCCTTCTCTGCACTGATGTGCAGCAGTGCATTCAGTTGAACCAATGCGTTCGGTGCAGGAATTTGGCTATCCCCCTCAGCTGAGGGCAGCGGATGTCCTCAGCAAGGAATTTTGGTTCCAAGCCCTAGTGTGGAACCCCACCAGAGGCTTGTCAGTGATCTTCAGAATTCACTCACAGTCCCAGTGTGCCCTTTCAGGCTCGTTTTCAGTGTATTCCTTATCCTCTGTCCTTTAAGGCTCACTTTCTCTTCTTTCTGTTGCCCACATGACCGTGACCTGGTCACTACCTATAGATACGTTAAATCTCTCTCGGTGCCACCTGTTTATGAAGGCTTTCATGGCATTTCCAGTTGCACGTGCTTTTCTTGCCTTCTGAGAACCAGCATTTATTTTTATTTTTGCACCACTCTGGTGTATGGTTTGTACTGAAGCCAGGGATCTGACACTGTTCCCGAGGGCTGTAGAGCCTTCAATGCCAGTGACAGTATTATGCTGACATCTGTGTGTGCCACAGGGCCAACACTGTAGATGGCCATGGTAGATATGACATGTGAGGAGAAGTTTTAAGAGAGCAGGTCGTGCAGAGTTGGGGAACAGCACTCGCGATTCATTGCCTGCCCTCTTCTTCATTGTAAGCATTTTCTAAAAACAGTTTCAGAATTTCCAAGCCTCTGCCAATTTGCCAAGCTCCAGGACTGTAGTAGCAGTCCAGAAATCCCAAAGTATAAAGGGGGCTGTTGTCTCAAGGCACCTGTACATTCGAAGGCAGCACATGTACATTTTCTTTGAACTCACTTAATATAACCACAATGATGAACACCCTGAAACTAATGAAGTGCATTCTACATCAAGCAAGTCCAGGGAAAGTCCAGACTCCTAGGAAAGCTTGCCCCATTTCGAGGTGCTAGGATCCTGGAGAGAGGGTGACAGGGAGGATTAGTGAGTGAAGAAGCATATGTAACTTTCCAGTTCCCAGCCAGGATCATGTGTACTGGCTCTCTGGAGACAGTGGATTTTGCATTCTTTTCGGGGTGGAGCAAATTCCTTTTATTCATTTTGCCACCAAGCTCTGTAGTGCTACTTCGAGTCCTCCCCTTGATGATGGCAGTGGACTGGCCAGCTAACTTTCTGCCAAGGCGATCTGAGTGAATGCATTGTCCCAGGGACTGTATCATACATATATGTGTTGCATGTCCAGCTTCTCTGCTAAGACATTCAGGCCATGGTTCCAAAACTGAAAGAAATCTTTTGATTTTTTTTTCCTACTCTATTAAAAGAATAACTTACATATCCTAAAACTCACATATTTAAAGTGTACAATTCAATGCCTTTAGTAGATTTACAGAGTTGAGCAACCAGTACCATAATCTAATTTTAGAAAATTTTCACCACCCTCAAATGTAATATAAGTTATTTTTTCTTTTATTTTGAAAATACATCTATCTATCTAATTCTGGTTTGAAAAATCTTTATAGTAAGAGCAAAAGGAATAT